GAGAGATGTCACGATTATTCAGGAAATCTTTTGTTATATCGTCCAGTCTGTCGTCAGACCATTGCTATATATGCTAGTACTATATTACATAGTAGCCCGGAAAGAATTGTAAAATTCTGACATACAAAAAATATTTTAGGAACATCTCTTAATCTATTGATATTATAGACGTTCATAGTATGAGTGACGCAAATACATAATTCACCATTTTGTCTCATATTTGTTCAAAAATGGTGGCATTTTTTGTGGGTTTGAATGTTCAGATGAAACTTAATATTTAAAAAATGTCATACGCCTATGAAGTCATCTAGACTGCTGCTCTGGTATACGCTAATAAAAACATACATTTTGTTTTAAATTGACTTGTATGTATACCGGTTCTTAAAGTGCATACATTGTATGCACACTATATTGGTAAGGTCGCAGGACTTCACGTTTTTTGGCCATTCCGTAGTGGATTAGCAGCTTTAGTTCGTTTAACCCGTGCAATTAAAAAATATATTAAAGTGACCCTTGAACAATTCTGTCCGGGCTACTATATACATATAAATTGAATTATATAGCAGTAATATTATTATATTTTTAAAGAACAGCATTTAGAAAATTGAAGATAAAAATCTACAATTTTGAAAAAACAACAAGTACGCCTTTTTTCGTAAGATCGAATCATAACACAATTGTAAAAATCACAATATGAAATAAAAAAAAATGCATTAAATTACTCCAAAGTACAAAAGACTTATAGCATATTCAGTATTTAATAATGATTAATCAGCGTAGCTTGGAGAGAAACTAGAAGTACTCCACTTTCAATTAATTAACTCCCAATCCCGACTTATGTTGGACTTTGGTGATAAAGTTATATTACTATCATCCCTCTTTTTATTTATATGTCTCTGTCATAACTATACAATAAAAACCAAAAATTGAACATCCAACTAGTTATGGATATCACTCCTCTGAAACGAATATACTTTGCTCGAGATTTAAGTTGATGTAATAAGCAGATTTGAATTATTTGATAATGTTTTATTGACTGTAACAAAATCCACACATACACTGCTTTTAGTGTGCGCCAAAACTCCAGAAAATCCCATTAACTGATGTTGAGGTAGGTTACTATGATTCGACCCATAGTCATTATAGATTGGTTCATTGACTATTCATTTTTACTTGTCTGCACTCAAAAAAGTGACACGAAAGGGCTAAACGGCTTGCCCCAAGGTGCAACCGGCAAAAAGATGAGTTTGACAAAAATCTTTTTTTTCAAATAAAAGCAGCGAGTATATGAAATAGGAGGCAGATTTGATATTGATATGTATGATAGTCCATTCGGGCGTGGTCATTTTTATTAAAAACAATAATATTGAAGAATTATACATTTCTGACCTTAAAATGCCATTTTAATGCAAAAGTCACGGTTGTTATTAATTATATTCCTATTTTACCTATTCAATGTTTTCTATATATTACACTTACCATTATATTCATTTTTGTCAAAGTAAATAATAATGGGGCTCACACAAGGATCCACTTTATTTACACCTTTTTCATATTTAGTGATGTTTTGAAAAATTACTACGTTTAACAAAAAATTATTTGTTAAATGTTAAACAAAATAATGATAATGTGTTTGCTTCCCTGTTTCAACTGAAAAATCACAATTCATTGCTCTTGATCTTAGAGCGACTGGGCATATACCAGTATGACCAATCTTCGATACAGTTGATCCTTGTGTGAACCCTACTATTATTTACTTTGCCAAAAACTAATATAATGGTTATTCGGATATACGAAAATCATTTGATAGTCAAAATAAGAATAATATAATTGAAATTTGAATAAAAAAGCATTATATAGTCAGAAGTACCAAATTTGTACCATAATTGTTTTGAAGAGAGTAACCATACCCTAATGGACTATCTCTACATATCAATAACTACATTTTGTGAAATTTGCTTTAAATTTGCATTTTTGAAAACGCACCTGCTTATACTTATTCAATTTAGAACTACAACAGAAAGTAACTATTTCATGAAAAACTTCGTCAGCTTGACTGAACATTACTGAGTGCAGTCATTAATATGACCTCATATTTGGATAACCTCTCTTCTGTTATAATTTTACTTTAAATTGGCAAATTTTATTAAAATTGACATGATAAAACAGAAATGATCGACTATTACTTTTGAAATGTCAATTGAAATGTGTCACCATTGTAATGTGTCACCAAGCGTCACAGCTTCCCACGAGTGCCTTGAAACACCAATACCTAGATATTGACCTTCTTGAGACGATCTTGAATTGAACCATTAAATGATGACTGCCTCATGTCACCTTATCATCACGACAGCAGCCTTAAAACGCCAAACACTAGGATGTTGAAATTTGACCTTAGAATGACCTTGACCCTAGGTCACGTTTCAATGGAATCAAGTGCAGCAGCCGCCCCAAAACGCCAAATATTTAGATGTTGATCTTTGACCCTGACCTATAACAATGACACTGATCTCAGGTCACTGTGTCATTGGTGATCAAATGTCGGTGTAGCCTCAAATGAGCCAACTACCTAGATATTGACCTTTGACCTTATTATAATTTTGAACAATATATACCTTAGCATGAGTTGCCAAGGGTCATAGCAGCCCCCATGGCCTCAAAACGCCAAATACAGAGATTTTGACCTTGTATGAATGACCTTGACCTCAGAACACATATCAATGGGTCCTCACATGAGGCAGCATCCCCAAAATGCCAAATATTCAGATATTGACCTCTGACCTTGAGATGACCTTGAGCCATAAACAGTTACATTGACCGTAGGTCACTTTATCTTTGGTGATCAAATGTTACTGAAGACCCACAGTAGCCACAGTAGCCAACTACCTATGACCTAGATACTGACCCTTCACCTTGAAATTACCTTGAAATCACCTTATCATTGGTCGCCAAAGGTCACAATTGTTCTCATGTCAACTTGCTAGATATTGACCTTAAAATTACCTTGATCTATTCAGACCTTGACTTCAGGTCACCTAATCATTGGTTGTGGAGGGTCAGGTGTCTTAAAAAGCCAACTACCTAAATATTGACATTTTACCTTGAAATGACCTTGACTTTTGTAGAATACACTTTTTATGAACAAAAATGAATCATTCAAAGTTGAAAACTGACCGTTTGCTGCTAATGTTTCAAAACGAAGGTATCTGTATTGTAAAAGTAATGTTCAAATTGAATAAACTCAAAGAAATATACTTCAATTATTTAATTATCTATCAGACTAAGTAAAATTGTAACTGTTCTAAATGCAAATGTTGCAATGAAAGCTCACGTATATCTTGCTGCATATCAGTCGAGTGCAGCTGCTACAGGTATCACTCTGACAAACATCGGTGACCAAATCAAACTTGATGTGATGCAAATCAGTATCTTTTAATTTGGCGTCCGAGCAGAATGTTGGACAAAATGGCTAACTGTTAGATAAACCATCAATAATGGAATTGTCAAAAGTTGCATTTATAAAATCAATTCCTGCCTCATCACTGTTACACCCATTACTACAAGATGTTGTCTCGACTAGATCACTGTCTGCAAGCTAAAAAAGTATCAAAATCACTGCCTGCTTTATCACAATAAACTTTTGTTACAAATAATTTCAGTAAAATGCAAATAGAAGGCCCATTTGATATTAATATTGAGAGATAGTCCACTTTGGTGTGGTAATTTTACTGCAACAACTACATAGGGATGTACATGTATAATGCCTTTTTATTCAAAAGTCAATCATTGTATTACTATTTAACCTATTAAAGGATTTTTATATAATATCTGAATAATCGGTATATTCAATTTAGGCAAAGTAAATAATCATAGGGCTCACACAAGGATCAACTTTATTGAAGACTTTTTGAACTGGTATATGCCCTGCAACTCTAAGAGCAAGAGCAATGAACTGCGATTTTTAGTTGAAACAATGAAACAAACACAATACCATCATTTTATTTAATATTTAACAAACAAAATTGTCTTAAACTTGGTATTTTTTGAAATCATCACTAAATATGAAAAAGTTGTAAATAAAGTTGATCCTTGTGTGACCCCTACAATTATTTACTTTGCCAAAAACTAACATAATGGTAATTGAAACATCTAGAAAACATTAATTAAGTAAAATAGGAATATTATCATTAGCAACAGTGATTTTTGAATTAAAATGGCATTTCAAGGTCAGTAATGTATAATTCTTCACCATTATTATTTTTAATAAAAATGACCACACCCAAATAGACTATCATACATATCAATATCAAATATGCCTCCTATTTCTTATACTCACTGCTATTATTTGAAAAACATGATTTTTTTCAAACTCATATTTTTGACGGTTGCACCTTGGAGCAAGCCGTTTGGCCCTTTCGTGTCACCTAATTAACTGCAGACAAGTGAAAATGAAAAGTCAATGAACCAATCTTTAATGACTATGGGCCACTTCTTAGTAATCTACCTCAACATCGGTTTAGACTAACTAAGCCACTTTGGAAGCGATTTGGCGCATACTATTTTATGAAGTCTTGAATTATGAACTGGTAAACCAAAAAATCGAAACTCGATATTTTCCAACAATAGAAACGTCGAAATGTGGTCTGAAATAACCGACTATAAATTCAAAATAAACAGTTCAAAAGATCCGAACCAATATCTCGATCATTTCTTGTGAGTTTTCTTCAAAATTTGGCCTGAAATTAAAAAATAAGGCCTGATAAGGCCCAGTAATGACCAAAAAGGCCCACTTTTTGGGGCCTGAAGCCCTTTTTGGCCCAATTTTTTTTCTGGGCCCACCCAAGGGGGGGGGCAGGCCCCCAGCCCCCCCCCCCCCCTAATCCGCCAGTGCATTTATGTAACAGAATATCGATGTTGCGCTCTGGGAGCCTATCTTCCTTGTTGGCCAACATAACACGATTCTATACTACACGCGTTCGCATTTAACTACTTATACTCACATTGGGTTTCCTTGGCCTGACGAGCAATAGTGTAGAAGATGAGCGTGTATGTTGTTATAACAGTGGCCAATGGCATCACAAATAGCAGCATGACAGTAAGCCCGGAGTAAAGATGTTCCTGCCACTGGGCTGAGTATGCACCAAAGGTGACGCACTGGTAGAAGTCATCTTCCCATGGTCCACGTCGTACACGAAATATGAATGCCTATAATGGGAATATTTAAAATAATTGCATTGAATATACTATTAATATGCGTTAAGCGTGATTTTATAGTAAATGATACATTCAGATTACATCATGGAACACAGCATCGTAGTTGTTTTATTTTTCAGAAAGTTAAGAAACCAGGTAACTTATCCTTTATCTGAGTATGAATTGGATATACTTGAAGTTAACTATTATAGATAACACAACTAGATCACCTGCACTGTCTAATAATATGGTTATACCAGGTATATGTGAGTGATGATAGTCGGGATTATTGAATAAACAAATTATGTCAGATTATATCTTCTCTTGAAGAAAAAATACCAGTACAGTGGGCAATGGGTTAATATGAGTTGATTAATCTATATTTGCATCAAGTACTATATTTTTAGAACAAAGCATTCTGATTTATCAGACTCTTTGAGAAAGCTCCGGGCTCTCATTTATTAAAATAGAATATCCGTTTTTAGGGAGGGGGTTATTAGACACGAAACCATTTAGATTTGTAGTCAATATATTTAATATGATGCAAGGAACAGGTAACTTATAAAATAAATAAAAGGTGCCCGCCTATTCATGAGCCCATGTTAAATTTTGCGTTCTTGTGGTTGATACATTCGATTAGGAGAAAGGAGAATGATTTATTCAATGATATGACAATGGCTTCCTGTGAGCAAGTTGACGTCGGGGGTTTTCGTTCATGTGCGAGGGGCCTTTATGGTTCTTGCGTACGCCCAAACAAAATCTGTGAATCATAAAACCTTTACTTTCTAGATATAATATTTAATAAATTAAGAAATCTCGAACTAAGATCTTACTTTAATCAATCGAGTAATTTGAACCTCATAGTCATAGAACGCAATTTAGCAAATGCGTACTGAGCAAATTATAGGATAAAAGCACTATACAGTATACTGTAGATGCCGAAGGAAAAATGTCTTTGAAGCATACGAAATTAATTCAAATTAATTCTTGTTCCATAGAGGTAAGATCCTCACCCCATGCAGACAGATCGCCTAAAATTACATTCGTATGATGCGAGACTCGACATTCACCAGGAAAATAGAAACATTTTCTCACCCATGGAGCAAATTAATTTTTTACTGCTTAATAAATGGTCAAGGCCAGTTACATTGAGTTCTATAAGTATTAAAATAGTATGACGTCTTCATATTTCAAGGTAACTCGTTCGAAAAGTGATGGCGGTGATCGAAATTACAATGTAAAGATAAAACCGTAATGGAATATTTGTAGATTTCTTTGAAAAACTAAAAAATATACATCACATTTCGAATTTTTCAAAACAGAAAAAGACATGCTTAAAATGTAAGATTCCCCCTGATAGTGTTTACATTATTGGTCTCATACATGTCGTACAATTAATATTTGAAATACACCTATCATTCGAATGATCGGACATAAGAATGATGTTACTTTATTAATATTACATTGAAGTACACAACATACGTATGTCCGATCATAATTTTGAATAATAGTAGAGTTTCAAATTTAAATAGTATGACTTATACGAGACCAATGTTAATGCTACGAGGGGGAATCGGACCTACATGCTTTACTATTTATACATGTTTTTCTGTTTTGAAAAATTCAATATGAGATGTATTATTTCTTAGTTTTTCAAAGAAATCTACAAATATTTCGTTGCGGTTTTAAACAGGATTTCAAAAAACAACAGCACCCCCCTCTACAACAAAAAGTACTTAATGTAACATGGTGTGTCATATCTCATTTTAAAGACAATTTAATTTTGGAGTACCGGAGATATTTCAGCTCTATAAAAGATTTCAATAAAATCTCAGATAAAGGTGTAGCATTGCATAATCCTCTTAGCACTTTCCTCACATTCTTCAGAATTACATCCTTACTGTATCTTTTTCCAAGAGGCTCTTTCTCCATCAATTCCTATACCTTGTTTTTCAGAACTGAACCCATATGTTCAGTGCAGTTGAATTCTTTCATATTCCACTTTCTGAAGATTTGACCTAACTAATAACAGAGCAGCAAACAAAGGACCGGAGTAGGAAATTTTGAAACAATGTAGCTTTTTTAATATATAGTTTTATTAAATGACATTTGATGAGTAACTCCAGAATTAAATTATCTCTCAAATGAAGTATGACAAGATATGTAACATTAAGGACTTTTTGCTGTAGAGGGGGTGCTATTGTTTTTGACAACCTGTATTTGCATCGTCATTTCAATCACCGTCATCATTTTTCAAACGAGTTTCCTTCAACTATCAAGACGGCATGCTACACTCCCCTCCATAAGTTTGGCAACCTTTTTTCCCCATTGAACTACGTGTTAAAGCCTCTTTACGTTTGAATTTTTGTTTACTTCACCGGCGATAAAATAACTTATAATATTGATGGAAACGTAACTTGACTTTATTTCCAATACCTCCAAATTTTCTCAATTTTTTTCCTCAATTTCAATAGGTCGAAAATTGATGATAAATTTGATGAATTTTTGAAAATCGTCATTCCCATGTAATCCAATGGGAAATGGAGGGTTCGGGGCAAATCAGAAATCAGGATATCTTTTCAGTAAAAGATTCAGCAAAAAAATATTTTTATATAGAAAATTGAATTGTCTGACTTTTTTGAACACTAAGTGATAAGTTTATATGATGAATATTAAAGTTACAGCGCTTCAAAGTCATTTTTGAAAATAATTTTTCGCCTCCTGTGTTATTTCAATGGGAGAGGTTTTTTGAAAAACAATTTTGACTTTAAAGCCCTATAACTTTGTTGAACCTGAAGAAACATATCAATTTTTTGTTAAATAAAGTTAGCAAATTCAATTGCCTGCCTAACTCGTATTTTTTGCACGGACTCGGATGGATGGATATTTTGTCATATGACTTGCGGCAAACCTACCATTTCCCATTGGTTAACATGGAAATGTCGATTTTCAAAAATTCATCAAATTTAGCATCAATTTTCGACCTATTGTAATTGAGGAAAAAAATTGAGAAAATTTGGAGGTATTGGAATTAAAGTCAAATTACGTTTCCATCAATAGTATAAGTATTTTCATCGCAGGTTAAGTAAATAAAAATTCAAAGGTAAAGAGGCTTTAACACGTAGTTCAATGGGGGAAAAAAGGTTGCCAAACTTATGGAGGGGAGTGTATTCTCATACTTATAGAACTTACTGTCATTCATCATTTATTAAGCAGTAAAAAATCAATTTGCGTCATAGGTGACAAAATGTTTCTATTTTCCTGGTAAATGTCGAGTCTCACATCATACGAATGTAATTTTAGGCGATCTGTCTGCATGGGGTGGATCCTGGGAACTTGTGTGCGATTCAAATTCCATTATTTGCAATTCCTGTTTCAGTTCAAATCACTTTAGCATATACAAGTAGACCCAATGAACAGCGCCAAATCTCATTTTATCAAGACAGAAGGCAAGGTTATAGGGGACATAACAATTAAAACAAAGCTGTATTTTCTGATTACCATTGTTGAAAATGTTTTGTTTCAAGTACTTTGAGGCGTTGTTTGGATCAGATGTTGTCCGTTTGAAACTAATGGATTGTCCATTTAACAGATATAATCTAATTATTAAGAGTGTGTTATCCGATCCCATTCAATGTATGCTGATATTCATTTCTAATTTGCTTAGCTTAAGTTCATCTATACAGGGTGTTCACTATGTAAGTTTGCTATATAGGCCATATACGTATATGATGCATAAGTCTATAAAGTTATACTTTTTTACCACCCTGTATACATTAAATAACAAGGCATATGTTTATGACAGCATTCCCGATTATCTTAAAGACTTCTAATAGCGCTTGCTTGAGTAAAACCGATAATCGACATCGTACCATGGTATTTGGCGCCCAATAGTTTTTTCAGTTTAAAAGTTTCTTTTGATTGTGCAATTCCGCCTTTTATTAAGTAGTTGACCGTGTTATACCATGGGCTTTCAAGAGAAGCTATAGTGCGCTACGCAGTTGTGCTCTTGCGTAGAGTACCAGAATATTTTCCAGCATCATGTGGACTGTCAAATAGTATCAAATAACACTGGGATTATTATCTTATATTGCCACAAATGTGAATCTATATGACACATATGTCATTCCAGTTTCAGAGCAATCTATTTTAATTCTCATCATGCTATACGGTCAATCCTATCATAAGCTCTATTCAAGTGTACAGGATATAACTTCATTACATCTCCTAATGGAAAAATACAATCCTTTGGTAAATAGACTATTCTTACGGACTGTGTTCAAAGAAACCTACGTCCAGTCAGTGTAAGACAGACATGGGAATTCATTAACCTTGCCAGGTTTATTAGATATATAGTTGCTATCATAAATGCCGTGTCATTGACTATTTCTATGTTACAATGAGAGTTGGTCGAACAAGATTATCGTGCGTATAATCTAGCGAACAATGATCTGGGATTTACTAAGGATTTCATGCTCATGCCAATTGTATTAAACTTTCTAGAGATACTTTACAAAACATTAATGGTGATGAGCAATCAACAACGTATTGATCTTATAAGAAAATGAGGAATTCTATTACTCAGAACAAGATTTTATTCCAAATTGTAAGTAGGATTATCCGACATAAAAAATTCAAGGCGTTGACGGTTGAAAGTTACAAGGCGTTCAATAAGTGTCAAGACTTTTTCATTGTTTTTTTTATAATACAGAGTTTGGGGGATGTTCTGATGCACTGTTAGAGTTTCAGAATGATCTAGGCAAAATTTGGTTAATGTTGGTTCTGGTCTGAAACTATATGAACTTCAAAATTTCATGCTCATCACTTCACGAAGCAAAAAGGATTGTCCTAACACATCCAGTTAATTTGCAAGAATACGCTTTATACAAGATTGTTTGCGTTACGCCATCAGTTTTTCCAGGTGATCGACGCTTTCATAAGTACGACATTCTAGGAGAGGGTCTTCTGTCGGTCACTCGAAATAACGATTTCATATGAAGCTATTACGCCAG